CCCCCTCCCATCGATAGCGCCCTGACGTCCTTTTCCCATCGATACGTCTCATCGATTCCTCCGTCCTCGCGAGATTACGAAATCACGCCCACGCGGCACGCAAGCGGAAGAAAGTCGGCCCGTCGGTGCGTCGACCACGCGTGCATCCTCGGCGGCGCGTCGGCTCGCTTTCTAACAGGACGACCACCGTCCGCGGAAGAAACCGCGCGCTCCTGACTTTTCTTTTCCCGCTTTCCACGCGCGTATTTTACTTCGCGCTCCCTGCGGGGAGCGACTTTGCGCGCGCGCGACAACGCAAAATCCCCCGTCGCCGGAACAGAAACGTGCGTTCGCGACACAACTAATGTGCGTCACACACCCCGATTAGGCGACCAACATGTTTGCTGGGAGATTATAGCGGCTGGTTTCAATTTAATTCGCACATTGTTCGCGCTGTAAAAGCAGTTTGTTGGAATTAAAAACGTGATATCGAAGACCGATTTTTTGCATAATGTATATACGTAAATAGTGTCAACTTTAATTTCAATTATCTCTCAGCTTCGGTACGGTCGATATTTTTCTAATTTCACGCGTGTGTAGACTGTATCTCGATGCGCTGTTAAAATTTAGAAGAAGATTTCTAGAGAAAGTAAATTCACGGATCAATTAGCTTAATGCGGCTGAACGTCCGTACGAACATTCTCAGTCGCGGTAACCGAAATATCGCTTCTCATCGCAGAGTTCTTTCATCTGGTCCCTGTTCAGTTGCAGAGTTTTTCTTTCGTGTAACATAGTATGTAATATTGTCTCGCGAAATATGTCGCTTCGCCTTCGAGATTTTCCCAGAACTTTGAGTCCAATAGAAATAATAGAGAGAAAGAATGCAGAAAATCGGCTCGCGCAATATTCGCCTTCCATTTTCACGGATAGCATATATAATTCACGCCTCCAGCTAGTTGCTCTCTGGATCGCGTAAAATTCGAGCGGGGAAATTTCTCCTGCTTAGAGGCGTGTCGGCCGCGACCACGTTTTCGAGTACTTGACCTCCATTTTCCAACTAACTTCGTGAATGGCGCGCGATGACTCCGCGAGGTTATCACGCAGCTGGAACAACGAATGGCCACGATTGACCAATCGTGCATAATATCCAAATTTACCGCTATTTTAAATAA